TGCGCAAGAGAGGTGTACATAAAGAGCCTGAAGCAGAATGATCATTCACGACGTTGCGATGGAGGATGCGGCCAGAGGGAAAGCATACAGTCATGTATGCTTGTATAAAAACTCCGCTATCGTTGACCTTAGATATATATTCTAAACACGTTTTTCGACACCTATATACCTGCTAGTACAGAGATTTCTACAGGGACTCTTAATGTGCGTCAATATTTCGACGCATGGTCCAAGAAAAGTTTACCTTACTGAGTACTGTCGTCGGACATGCCGAGAACGCTTCTTGATCATTGATCGCAGCAACTCGTATATCAAGATCACTTCGTCACATGCCCAAATTACCCAGGAACAGACTCGGTATTCCAAGCAAACATCATCGAAAGCGAAACTAGAAATTACTTTTTATTTACCATCAACATGTCACCTTGCCGTGACATAGGTTGTTGAGAAGCCAAGCCAAGCCAGTACAACTGAGCCCAACCCGTGCCTACATCCCCGCCTTCCGTACCTTTGCACTGCGGAGTGTTCCCACCAGCACTTCTCTGCGTGTCATCATCCTTTGTCGTACAGCCATGCACGCATGTTTGTCCGCGACAGATATCGCTTTGCGTATAGCAGCGCTATTTGCATCCAGTGCTATATCAACGGAGCGTAACTCGTTTCGGAGTTTAGATTTCCTTTCCTTTGAAGATTTTGATGCCGTCGGTTCCAGCGGCCGAGGTCCCGAAGCCGCGTCTTCTGACGTACGGTTCAAAACAAAGTTTGCTTTGGCTGTGCCAGGAGTGTTCGAGGCTGATCCTTTCGTACCCACATCAGCGCCCTTACGCGCAGGTAGGCGGTTAAAAAAATCCGTACTATCAGTCCTATTTCTTTGCCTATGAGTACCAGATACAGTATAACTGTCCACATTCTCAACACGAGGGCCATTCGTTGGTTGCGGAAGGGCATCCTCATCCGTCCGCGATGCGAACTCTCCTATGTCGCTCAACTCTTCCCCAGGCTTCGCACACTCCAAATCCACCCGTATCCGTATAGGTTCTGCCTCCAGTGTCTCGCATTCTCCGTGCCCTTCAGCCGATCGCAGGCCAACCTTACCCGCCCCACTCCCCCAAGTCAAGCGCCTACATCGGAGCTCAGGCTGACCTGGCGTACACTCCTCGGCTTTCATCGACTGTCGTGAAGGTCTTAATGTGCTAGGCATGAGTTGGTGCTGGATCGCTATCAGACGACGTCTCGCATGTGCCGCAGATGTAGCGTCATCTCTGGTGGCTCTATCTGTGGCAATTTTGTTAGCACTTGGTCTTGGGAGCGAATCCAACTGAGACTGTGCGGCTGTCCCCTTGGGGCCAGCGTCTACCACAGTGTTACTCGATGCCTTGAAGTCATCAAAACTGCTACCAGCACGCGTACTAATACCGCCACTGACAGTATCAGTATCCACAGTTGTATTCGACGAGCCTTCTGTCAAGGCTATACCTCTTTCACCAGTAATCCTTTGCTCATCAGTAGGTAAAATAAATGCACCATTGTGCTCATGAGTCTCGATATCGCCATCGCTGAGGTGTTCCCTGTGCGTATCAGCTAGACTGACTCTGTCTGAACTTTCTTCACTCCTAAACCTACCACAGCCAGCCGTTCGCTCCATTGTTTCAACCGAATTGAATCCGTTCCCACTGCCATGCCCCTCGTATTTAATATTTTCATTCATCTCCTTTTTAGTTCTCCGTTTACTTCTACTTCTCCTTTTACTTCTACTTCTGCTTCTACTTCCGACCCGGCCACCGCAATCCCCACTTCTACTTTGTCTACCTATACCTCTGTCTCTGTCTCTATCTCTCTCATTCCCTTTACTACTTTCGCCATGACGGTACTCCATACCGCTGCTTCGAAGCTTTCTGCTTCCCTCATAGCGACCATGCCGTCTATCTATTCTCTTACTTTGGCGTCTCCGATGACTTCCAAGCATACCATTACCGCTACTTACACTACGACTTCCATCACTACTGAGCCTGTCCCTTTCACGGCTCCAATCCCTACAGCCCCGCTTACGTCTACTGTTGTGAGTATGACTGCTATCACGTTCATATGTATCACTTCGGTGTTCCTTGTCCTGTTTCTGCCTGCTCTCCCATACCTGCCCGTTGCCATGGTGACTACCAGACACCCCTGTCCCTTGTCTGCCACCTCTATCTTCACGTACCACCCTGTGTGTATCCTCACCATCTCGGCAATCCTTCCTACCCTTGCGGCAAGCGCCACCATTGCTGCTATCGCTGGAATGAGAGCCATCGCTTGCACTCACCCTGTCTGATCCCACACTCTCATTCAAAGTCAACCGCTCGTCCTGTCCCCGTATCCCTCTGTAATCCCCTATCTGCCTTCCTTCTGAAGCCTTTCCTCCCGCCATACCCTGAGCTCTTGGCTGGGTGTTTGGGCTGGACCGTGTCCGAGTTGTTTCAGCACCCCACCGTGTAGTCAACTGAACGCACTTTAAAATATTTGCTGCCACTACCGACTCTCCTTCCGCCAGCACTGGTGTTGGAGACCGCCTCGGTGACACGGCCACACTCTCCGTCTGGGGCAAGCTCCCTTCCAACTGGGTCAAGCCTATACCCTGCTGTGGGTGCTCAGCAGCTTGCGACTGTGACGACGGGTGCGAGTGTTTTCGTTTGCTATTGTACTTCCTAAGTTTGTGTTTTGGGTGCCTACGCGATGCGTGTGAGCGTTCGTCGTCACTGCTACTTCTCACCAGTCGCTTGGTGCCAGCACGCGCATATGTGCTTCCACCACCTTGTGTACCTGAGGGCGCTGATCCCTCTCCCGGTAAACTCGAGTGTGCGCGCGAGTGAGCGGAAGAAGCCGTATGTGTAGGTAAAGATTCCGGTATACTAGCACTCATACGTGCAGGCTGACAACCCACAGTGCCTGGACTATTGCTAGTCGAGGACCCCTGTTCACCCCGTACCAATCCATACGGATGCATCTGTGTCAACTGCCGATTCTGTAATATCTGCGCCTGCGTTTCTAGTTCCGAACTTTCCCCCATCGAACCGGCCGCAGTACTAGCCCCGTCTCGACCAACACTCTCCACGTCTCCTGTGATATCACCCTCAGTCGCGTCAGAGCGAGTGACTATATCCGTAGTCAATGTACCAGCAACAGAGCCACTCACTGCCAATTCCGCCCCACCCGCCACACTATCGGCACGTGCTTGTACTTGACTTCCCACCGGTGTGTGTGCTTGCCTGATGGTCTGCGTGTAGTAGGCAGTGGCGTTGAAGGGGATGCTGTCCACGGTGTTGTACTGTACGCTGTTGTCGTAGCCTACCATGTCGTAGGGCGAGCGCATGAACCCGAACAGCTCATGTGCGAATTGGGGTGTGGCATCGAAGAGGAACGGGCGCAGGTGCGTCTCAAACTGTGTAGGTAAATAGCGGAACGGGATGGTAAACTCAGGTGACTGACGGATTATGCGAGCTTGGATACGCGGAGAGTATGATAGTGTGGCAACGGGAGGATGAATACGGAGCACCAGGAAACGGGGACATATGACTGATTATAACTCCGTATTGAGATATAAAAGTAAATGACCAGCGCTTGGCCGAGACGACCCCAACACACGCCCACCACGTTGTGTACAAATAAAGAGAATCAGAGATCAAAGTTTTTATCAAAAGGATAGTAGGTAAACACGAATACACATGCAACACAGGGTGTTAACAATAAACCTTTGAGCATAACCTACCTCTTCTGATTGGACTTCGAAGCGCTCCACCAGACTCATTGTTAAGGTTGTGACCAGGTCAACATTCAACGCCTGTAGCAAAACCTGATATAGGGGCAATACAAGGACGTGAGCGTACGGTTTCACCCATAACATTGTATACCGGAGTAAAATGATAAGGTTACAACCAGATCATGAAGGAATTAAGCAACATATAAAGCTATATAAACGGAGATAAGCGGTTGATGCTCGATATATAACAAAATGGTATATATATATATATATAAATATATACGCGTGTTGGCTTGATACCATACCTGTAGATCTCTGATAATGAAGGGTTCGAGTCGGCTGAGGTGATGGGGATGTGCTGCGTAGAACGTCGGAGTGAGGTTACGAACACGTGTATGTGCGTTAGTTCCTACGTGCCGATATCGCAGCTTCAAATTATACACCAACCTGCGAGACATAGACAAGAATATAGCACAGATTTGTGAGTATTGTGGATGAGTTTACATGCGCGAGACATAGGTCAGAGAATAGATAAGGGAAAAAAGGACCCTGCAAATATATACACGTGCTTATATTTATAAATATATATAGATACCATATATATATATATATATATATATATCCTACATACATACATGGATACATACATACATATATACAGACATCAGAAAACTATAATAGAAAAGAATTTTTTACGGGCATGAGATTAAATACTTGCGGAAAACTTTTAAACTGGGTATAGACATATTGATATTAAAACATAAATTGAAACACGACAAACAGTCACTTTTCGCTTTTTGAGTAGAGTCACAGGCACACGTGTACAAAACGAGGATAAAAAATAAAATCAAAATCACCGGTGTATGTTCCAAATTTGTAGCCAAAACGTGCATGTAGGCATACCCACCTTCTCGTCTCCTTGGACGCTATCAGCCGTGGGCTATGATACCTTGATGCAGCGCTAGCAACCATTTCTCGGCGCATCTGCGATATGTCGCTGCCAGCACCTGAACCATGCCGAGAAGACCCTTCTACAGACCCCCGTTGTGAACCTGTTCGGCCCCTTTGATACCCTCTCCCACTACTGTGGCGGGCCGATGTGCCAATCAGATTTGTGGTGCGATAGCGATGACCAATCACAACTGCAGGTGCTTGAGGACGAATGTTGGACGACTTCTCGGGCTTCACCGGCAGATCTGTCTGTATTGCACGAATGAAGGTATGTGCCAGCATATTTAAGAGGTACGGATGTAAAAATATAAGTATATATACTTGTGGGATTATATATGTAAATACATGCATGCGTGTGTGCAGACAACCGTATTCAACAGCGTACATCTGGATCCGTGAAAGAACGCATATACGTTAATCTACTTCATGACTGCATACACAAATACATAAGGTACTCCTGGACATTTGACAGAAACGCAGTAGTATTCAGATATACAAGCACGTACACTCAATCAACCATGCATGCATGATTCAACTATACATTATATGGATAAAACTCGCTAGGTACTTCCGCATATACCAGAGCCCACCACTCGAAATTCAAATACATGCGTGTATGCCTACATATATACTAATACACATGAAACTACTCATCAGATCATTCAAATTGACCACTGCGAAATACAACCGTACGCAAATGATTGGCATAGTCGGAAGGAAGTATACACATACATGTGTGTATAAATGTACCTCAAACATATGAACACACCAACACACCAACCCACTCACCCACCCACACAGATA